ATGGTCACCGGCCAAGAGCCGGACACAATGGCATTATATGGTTCTTCTAATTACAAAAAGATAGGTTACATAATTGGGAACTTTAATGTTGGCATATTGTTATGAAAAAAATCAACCCCGTTCAACCGGTATATTTCTATTATAGCAATGACCGAAAATAGCCGTGGCAAAATCCTGGAATTTAACAACCGAAAGGCTTCAAAGTATGACAAATTGCCCTTTGTATTCGTCACATTAAATGTCTGTCATTTCGTGTATCAAAGTTCTCTTCTACACTTGACTTTTTGAAAATACATATCGTAGCTTCCAGCATATATATACATTGTACATAAAAAAATCCATCACCTATCAGACCAGAGGTCCCATTTCTCCTTCTGTTAACCCCCTACCTGTACACTTGGTTTATAATGTTGGTTAGAGATGCAGTGCTGACAATATAACTGGTTGATAGAGTAGTTGTATGGGACAGCTCTGATAATCCCCAGTCCCTAATTAAACACAAAATCCTCCTCTCTGTATCTTTATGCTGGTTCCGCCTATCAGAGATTGACCCATATTCTTAGATGGCTGAGTAGTTGGATATGGGACAGCTCAGAGAGTTGTCAACGCCAATATAAACTGCACTACAACACAGGGGAGCTAATTCCATTATCGTGCAGCTTTTATTTTAAATTACCGTGTTGTTCTATCTGAATTGATATGGCCGTCTGTGCTTGAAGTTCGGAAGATATCTCTGATTTTACCGTAAATTTCAGGAAACTAGTCCCAGGTAACGCATCTTTCAGAGAGGGAAATAGCTAATATATCTTACATGGGAGACGTGCAGTTTCGTCATAATGGATACCGATCTGTAATCTTCTACCGTCGAGTGCACTACACTTTTAATTTTTCGCAGTCGAGATGGTTTAATTGCATAGTACCGTGATGATCTTTAATGAAACTTGTGATCTTATATCGCTTCATGACGCACCTTGCCATTCGCGGTCTTTATAAACTCTTCATGCGGAGTCTCAAGTGACATTGCGACAGTCTTGTCTACGGCGTCGTGCGTCGTAAAAAATTTACATTTTCGACTTCTTCTCAATAACCAAAGGGCCCAGTATCATGATATTTGGCCAGTAACATGGTTGGATGAAGGGCTATCACGTTTGTTTAAATGAATGATCTTGAACTGTTTTGTTTTTCAATGTAACAGGGATAAGATGTGTTAAACTCTTTAAATGATTTCTTTATAACCAAATGGCCCAGAGTCATGCTATTGGGCGAGTAGCGTGCTGGGTTGAAGGGCTACCAAGCTTGTTAAAATGGATAACTTTGACTCGTTTCCAAGGTCTCAGGTGTCAAATGTGTTAAACTCATTAAATTACTTCTCCTCAATAATCAAATAACCCCAGGTCATGATATTGGGCCATCGGCATGCTTTGATGAAGAACTACCGAGTTTGTTCAAATGGATAACTTTGACCAACTCTCAAGGTATCAGGTGTCAAATGCGTTAAATTCTTTATTTCTTCTCTATACCAAATTGGCCCAGAGTCGTGCTATTGGGCCAGAGTATGCTAGGATGGTGGGCTATCATATTTGTACAAATGGATGACATTAACGTTTATTCGAGGTCATAGGGGTCAAATATCAATTACAGACAATGCTATCAGTTCCATTTAATTGAAAGTTAAGCCTTCAAACTTAGAAGCAATAAAAATAAAATCTTTGTAAGAATACATACATCAGGTCTGTTCTGTCTGACGCAATGCTGGGACTGATGGATAGGTTCTAAAACTTTCCAGAGACCTGAAGACCGCAATTGACCGAGAAGACAAATGAGTCTCTTGTGTTCCGAATTGTGAACGAATTATTCAACGGTTTGTTCGGAAAAATAAGACAAACGAGAAAGCCTTAAATGTGTTGTAGTCTGCTGGTATGCTGTAGATTGTATAAGGTTTCCTCAATTCAGGAATTTGGCTACCCAGGTCTACAGTAGCCGTGTGCATGTGCTTGTGATAACTCGGTGAAGTCGATGGCTGGTGCTGTGTACTTCAAAGGGTCAAGTGTCCGATGTCCTAACTGGTTGAGGCCGGATGTGGGAAAGGATAACATATACTCAGGCCATAATAAATGAATCAACATTAACAACGATGAAGAGTTATTGCATGTTGTTTTATTCTACGGTAAGTAAGTACAAGTGGGTAACCTGCAAGGATATGAGACTGTTTTTTTATAGAGATAGTACAAAAGACACACCAGTGAACAGCACATTTTAGACTTAAGAGTTAGATACAGAAGAGCCAAACAAGGAATTATACTGCGTCACATAGCTGTGTCGCCCTTCCAGGACTCGTCAATGATGTTAAGCACCCAAATTTTGAAGCACAAGAGGCGACTGAGGAAAATCCAAAGTGATCGAAAGGAATGTCAAGATATAGACAGGAAGATACAATAAACACATGATTCAATAAACTTCGCAATTTCTTCATCATATATGTGGTAATTTGAGAACAACACCAAGTACATGTGTAAGAATGGGTAAAGTCACGGATGTAGTCCGTGGTAAAAAGCAGTCTGCTCAAATACCCCGCGGATGTGTGGATGTTTTTGTCACTAAGACTATGTAAGGTGTTGTCTGCTGGAAGGATATTGCCTTAGTCAATAGTGCAAGGATGGTTAATGAACATTGATGGGAGAATTTCTGGGGTTTAAAGGAAGCAGGCTGGATTTCCACGCGTGAAATCCCTAAATCTCTCCTTAGAATGATATCTGGTAGACAACCCGATCATCAGTCTGATGAAGATTGAGAGTCACATGTAGTACCCGGTTGACAACCCGATCGTCGGTCTAATGAAGATTGAGAGTCACATGTAGTACCCGGTTGACAATCCGATCGTCGGTCTGATGAAGATTGAGAGTCGCATGTAGTACCCGGTTGACAACCCGATCGTCGGTCTGATGAAGATTGAGAGTCACATGTAGTACCCGGTTGACAACCCGATCACCAATCTGATGAAGATTGAGGCATGTAGTATCCGGTCGACAACCCGATCGTCGGTCTGATGAAGATTGAGGCATGTAGTACCCGGTTGACAACCCGATCGTCGGTCTGATGAAGATTGAGGCATGTAGTATCCGGTTGACAACCCGATCGTCGGTCTGATGAAGATTGAGGCATGTAGTACCCGGTTGACAACCCGATCGTCGGTCTGATGAAGATTGAGAGTCGCATGTAGTACCCTGTTGACAACCCGATCATCAGAAGATTGGGAGTCACATGTAGTATCTAGGTTGTTGCTTTATGACACGTGATCTTCTTGGTGACATAATCTCGCCGAATATATTTCTTTAATTGTCATCGGCTCTTACATTTACTATCCCGAATTAGAGATCGATAAGGAATCTAAGTGTTTGACTCTGCTGTTGTCCACAAGGACTTTAACCAATTGATAAATATGGACTGAAATTTAAAGCATATTTTCCTTGTATAGTAGTTTGTCAGAGAAATATATAAAGTTTACTGTCATTCTGACCTCCAAGAGTTACTGCCCTTCGTTTCACTCTCTCGATGGAGGTCCTAAAATGTGTACAACTACAGTATTTATAGATCCAGGCATTATTACTGTTTTTGCATCGCACATTTTGCCACATTGTACAATTGTTGACCATGAATACAACTTCAGCAGGAAATGAATACAAGAATATCGACATCAATCGGTGTTTCCGAGTGTTTCTTGTGACAACTGAACTACACCTTGTTGTTCCTTAATAGAAAATCAGCCGTCATAGAGAATCGAGCAGGGACGAATACTGACAATATAAACCGGTGGTGAAACCTGGCAGTACCTTTTCATATCTGACGAACTGAACAATTACCCTGGTACTCATCATTTGATTGGGGCCATACGAGACTGAAGAAATGTCGCACTTTTCGGCTAGAAATTGTGAAGTGCAATTATCCTTCAAACACCATGACATAACTGCAGCAAGACCATGGAACACATTGTCACTAGTAAACTTGAACTTTTATAAAGATAATATACTACCGGATGTACAATAGACGGTAATGTAATATACTGTGGAGTTAACATGCTTCCATTTCAGAGTTGAAAGACGATATAGTTCATTTTTCCTAAGATGTCGGATAAGATCAAAGAACACCAAAATTTTATCGAGATGTCATAATTCTTCAGGTGTAGGCGGAAACGGGTTTCAGGACTTCCTCCGTTAGAAGAACATAAAATGCTATAAAGGAAGGATAATTTACTTGTAAACATCAAAATATCATCGACGTAATGACTCAGCCATCAGTATCATAAATCACGGCGATTAAAATGAAGATGGCTAATGTTTCATATTGTGATATCAGAAGATTAGACAACCGTGAACACATGGCTGATGAATTGGAAATCCAACACGGGGAAGTATTTGGTTATCTCTGTTACAGTGACAATGAATTCGTACATTACTCAAAACAAACACGAATGTAGGCAGAAAGGTTTATTTAATATCTTAAGAAATGTAGAAATAATGACAGGATAAGTACTGGATAGTAAAATTAGTATTAATATCACAATTGCATATGTATATAGGATGTATTGCACTCTCATGTAAAATCTTCAAGAAATTGCACTTATTGCCGTCGGCCTTAAAGGTAGCAATCTTATTCATTCTGAAATATTTTTCTCGTTTCCTGTTCTGAATTTTGGTCTTGACAAAACAACTATTTAACACCTTGAATAAAATTCACGAAAAAGAATCATACTTGATCGCAGAATAATATTTAATCTTTATCATTCTGCATTTACCTTTCCAAATTGTCATTATTTTCTTTTCGTCATTTAACTAGACAGTGTGTATTGCACAATAACGTTCAGCGTCATGCCACACAATTATTCTCGTAACAAATATAGCACGTGCTCGTGTAACAAATTTTAAAATAGCACATGACTCAATTATACTCGTAAAAACTATAGCACGCCATACAATTATTCATGAAACAAATATGGTATGTCGCACAAATATTCACGAAGAAATATAACACGTCACGTAAGTACTCGGAAACAAAGGTAGCACGTGACATAAATATTCACGAAACTAATATAGCACGTTTTTATTCAAAGGACACAAACATCACTCGTTACACAAGTATTCAACATATTACCACGGACTTGGATAAACCGCGTTATTACAGCAAAACTCGTTACAGTCATTTAGGCATTACTTCTTAACACGACACACAATCATTTGAAACATTTCATAGTACAGCAAGCTATTTGTTTAACATATGTATTGTATAACCGCGGACTTTCTATATATTTTTATCCGTGGTATAGCACACCGTTAATGACGGACATAATTGTTTATTGTTGTAAACTACGCCTCAAATGTTACGTAGTTTTTGCCTTGATGACATCGTGTTTACTTTTCCCCTACAACTTCTATTTCAATTACACCTGTGACGTCACATATTTGTTTGCATTGAAAGCAGGCGATTATTTCCCTCCTCCCAGCTCTCCTCGGTTTGATTTGTATTGTCTCTCGTATTTCCTCGTCCGGGGCGATAGATTTCCTGTAACATATTCAAGTCAGATTAAGTTAAAATCTTGCATCGAAGTATTTCAATTGAAATTGAAACTGGCTTGTATATATCCGATTTCAATTGGTTATTTACAAATGACATCATCAAAAGCAAATAAACGATTTAACGATTGTTGCTGTTTCCTTCTGATGAACATGTTGTATTGAATGAATGTTATCAACTGAAATTCAAGATTAATTGAACGGATGTTATCTACTTAAGTACAAGATGAAGTACAAGATGTACTGAATGGATGTTATATACGGAAGTACAAGATGTACTGACTGGATGTTATATACGGAAGTACAAGATGTACTGAATGGATGTTATATACGGAAGTACAAGATGTACTGAACGGATGTTATCTACTGAAGTACAAGATGTACTGAATGGATGTTATCTACTGAAGTACAAGATGTACTGAATGGATGTTATCTACTGAAGTACAAGATGTACTGAATGGATGTTACCGAATGTTATCTACTGAAGTACAAGATAAAGTATAAGATGTACTGAATGGATGTTATCTACTGAAGTACAAGATGTACTGAATGGATGTTATCTACTGAAGTACAAGATGAAGTACAAGATGTACTGAATGGATGTTATCTACTGAAGTACAAGATAAAGTACAAGATGTACTGAATGGATGTTATCTACAGAAGTACGAGATGTACTGAATGGATGTTATCTACTGAAGTACAAGATAAAGTACAAGATGTACTGAATGGATGTTATCTACTGAAGTACAAGATAAAGTACAAGATGTACTGAATGGATGTTATCTACTGAAATACAAGATGTACTGAATGGATGTTATCTACTGACTGAAGTGAATGGATGTTACAAGATGTGTACTGAATGGATGTTATCTACTGAAATACAAGATGTACTGAATGGATACAAGATGTACTGAATGGATGTTATGAAGTACAAGATAAAGTACTACTGAAATACAAGATATCTACTGAAGTACAAGATGAAGTACAAGATGTACTGAATGGATGTCATCTACTGAAGTACAAGATGTACTGAATGGATGTTATCTACTGAAGTACAAGATGTATCAAATGGATGTTATCTACTGAAGTACAAGATGTACTGAATGGATGTTATCTACTGAAGTACAAGATGTACTGAATGGATGTTATCTACTGAAGTACAAGATGTACTGAATGGATGTTACCGACTGAAGCACAAGATGTACTGAATGGATGTTATCTACTGAAGTACAAGATGTACTGAATGGATGTTATCTACTGAAATACAAGATGTACTGAATGGATGTTATCTACTGAAGTACAAGATGAAGTACAAGATGTACTGAATGGATGTCATCTACTGAAGTACAAGATGTATCTAGTACAAGATGTACTGAATGGATGTTATCTACTGAAGTACAAGATGAAGTACAAGATGTACTGAATGGATGTTACCGACTGAAGTACAAGATGTATCAAATGGATGTTATCTACTGAAGTACAAGATGAAGTACAAGATGTACTGAATGGATGTTATCTACTGAAGTACAAGATGTACTGAATGGATGTTACCGACTGAAATACAAGATGTATCAAATGGATGTTATCTACTGAAGTACAAGATGTACCGAATGGATGTTATCTACTGAAGTAAAAGATGTACCGAATGGATGTTATCTACTGAAGTACAAGATTTACTGAATGGATGTTAACTACCGAAGTACAAGATGCACTGAATGGATGTTACCGACTGAAGCACAAGATGTACTGAATGGATGTTATCTACTGAAGCACAAGATGTATTGAATGGATGTTATGCCACGGTGTTTTGGTAAACTGTAGGTATCAACACTGAATTATGTACATCTGTTGATACGTTGATTGTTCGCTTGTAGTTTTGTTTGCATTGATGACGTTACACATTACGTACCATAAACGTAGATCTGTTGGTAAGACATAGGACTTACTTGATCTTAACAGCGGATGGCTTATGCATGCCCGGACCCTCCAAGTTGATGTATCCTCCCGACAGTGGCACAGAGAGCGTATTGACCAACTTGATAATTACGTCAAGGGGTTTTCCTACCGTGGCCGTCCCTTCCGCCTAAAATATACAACATGCATTGAATAAAGAGATCTCTATTCATTGTCCATTCGCGAGACTCAGGTGAGGGGAATTTCCGTTGTTCTTATAGCTTTGAATTAGAGATTTCCCATCGTCCCTGATACCTTCCATGTCCTAACCGATTTGAATATTGTCTAGGAATTTTCACTCTACTCACAATGGATTTCTTCCCATACCGCAACCAATCCCTCCCCGCCTTCAGGGGCAAAGTCTTGCTAGCATTATTGTCAGCAAGGTGTATATATATTCGTATTAGGGTGAACACGGAGATTCAAGGACAAGGCTTAGGATCGTTTCTTATTAGTTTGTGAACGATCTATCTAACAAATTGACCGACATTTTAAAGTTCGACGAAGAGGATATGTCAGCCTTTTGTCTAAAGATATTCTTGAAGAAATTTACAACCGAGGAGATACATATGAAATGAAACATTATCTCAAGTTGATAACGTACAATAATCACAAGATGGTGATGAACGATAGCTTTCAGTATTCAACTTAATGATAACTACATGATATATTACTGTAGCTTTCAAAATATGATGATCAACACCGTCTATTGCCTATGAATTGCATTTAAATTTCAATAGACAATAGCTAATGTGATTCGATTTCCATCGGATATGCTGCTCCGATAATCACCGAAGCTATCACGCTGGGCTACACAGCAGTCTGCTAAGTGTTCTTCCGACGATTCCATCAAGACCAAATTTATGATTATTTATTAAAACTGTAAAAAGTCTGCACTTCGGAAACGATTTTTTCCTTAGTATGCCTTTATATGGAAATGTTAATTGTTACTGGGGAACTCTCACTTATCAAATGATCTGCGGTAAAAGCATTACTTTTTACACGAGTTACAGACATAAGTTATCGTGTCGGAGTAGACCTCGTGTAACGGATACGAGGAAGCTCGTTAATGCGAGGAAGGTCGTTAATGAGACTAATAAGTCAATATCTGCAAGAAGGTCAGACGGAACATATCTCAGAGAAAGCTTTATCGACATCGAGGTCACCAGTGATTAACAAACAACATGAAGCTGTAAGGATTCTGTCTATTGACTAAAGCTGATTGATCCAAAGTTGGAAATAATTAATGACTATCTAGGTAAGCCTACTTCAGGTTTTTACTTTCATATCACTGTAATTCATAGAAACATACCATTATACCTAAATTTCTATCGGAAGCTATTTTTTCACGTAAAATACGGTTGCCGATATGTGAAACAACTAATGATGTACTTGTTCGCTTTAAGTCTGTTTGAAATCTCACCCCCTCCCACCACCGCAACCCTTCCTCAATTAAATGGAATGACGAGAGTCGATCAGGCTTGTGACGTCATTGACAGGGGAAGTAAATAGTTGTCTGCATCCGATCAAAACACTGAACAAATAGTATGGACAAGGAATGCCGAAGAATTGTCACCCGATACAAAAAGAAACATAATTACTTTGATGTCGATGGTATGACAGTCGTGGAAATTACCAAACTACTGGGAATCAATAGATCAACGATGGAGAAAATCATTATGAGGCAAGGAAAGCTTAATTTAACCCAAAATCGGCAGACTAGAGGAAGAAGGAAACGTTAAACGGAACGTGATTAGCGGCAACTTCAGGGGGTTAGTTCAAATTAATAAGGCGGTCTATTTTGGATGACATAATGATGACATTGAAGAGCTGCGCTCCTCTATGAATTTCTCGCAGAACAAATCATAGAAATTTACATGAACTGAGATTTCAAAGGTTCATGGTGAGAAAGAAAATAAGAATGTTTCAGGTTGCCATAGAAAATCGTTTAAATCGTTTAAAATTTTGTCTGGCTGGTCGAATCAAAACGTTTGACAATTACAGGGAAAAGTGATGTATTCCGGTAAAGTGAGTATAATCTTGAAGCCTGGTGGAGAGATTAATGTGAAGCGAGACCGCTGAAAATGGATTGAGGAGTGGATACGATATGCCAGTGTAGGCCTCTAGAGAACTGTCAAAGTTATTGTATGGGGTTGTATAGTATATGATGGTGTAGGTACATTGGACTTCGTAGAGGGAAATAGAATCTAAAAAGAAAACTACTGATAGCCAACCATTGTCAAAAATCTCTACAATAAACCATATATATTCCAAGAAAACAATGTTCCACGTTAAAATCAGGATTCAGCGAAACCTATAAAACAGGTAGCCGATTGTCTGTGTTACAATGACCTGCTCAAAGTCCTGCCTCTAGTCCAATTAAACATATTGGGTTTATTAAAAATAGACTAAAAATAGGGCTGCTACATGTCAATAATGTTGAAAACTTAAAAGTAGAGCTTCGCGCCTTTTCGGTAAAATGTTCATGTAACTGATGTAAACAATGGGCCTAGTGACCTTGACGTTCACCTAAGGTAAGCAACATTGAATTTAAAGGCTAAAGGGTAAGTAGCTTTCAAGTGTCGTGAAAAAGATATTGCGACATTGATGAAAGTAAGACTTCAATGATCTGTATAAATATGTTGGGGTCAGTTTGGAAACATTATGCTTATATATGTTTTTTTCTATATAAACTTTACCCCACCGCAGGGGAAAATGTGAGACACCTTTAGACCCCACCCATCAATACCTAACTCCCCCACCATCCCCGGGGTCAGCCAGGAGCAATAACGTATAGCTCAAAAGTGTACTTTTCCTGTATGAAAAAGTATAGCCAAATCTATCCCCTCCTCAGGGGAAAGGGTGAGGCCCTGGGAACATGAAATTCACAATTTTAGTAAAGTACTATAAGGCGCTTCAAAGGTCACCATGGAAATTTGTCTCAGGTGACCTAAAAGTTGTATGAGAGCTCGTCGAGACAATGCAAGGCAGTTTAATCAGGAAAAACAGCATAACCAAATACTGAAATATTTAGCCAATGGGAGGTAAATGAAAGCCGTTTAAGTATGAAAATGTTTCCGTTTGTCGGCCATGTTGGATATCTTTCAGGACATATTTTTGTCACGTGCTGTATATTCATGTATTCCCAACCTTCCTTCACATTAAGCCCATCGCATTCAGTATTGAATGTGCGGTGTCGTTGAAAATTGTTGAAGATGATGTGATCAATTAACAATGTTCATTCAGTGTTACACATGTGATGGTTACCTTCAGATCAAGGTTGGGATGCTCGGCTCTGAATATGTCCCTTCGAATGAAGTGCTGACCAGTTTCTTTGACCGTTGCCATGGCGTATATGCTCACATGACTATCTGGATCGATGTTGTTTATGTAGTCTGAGCATTTAACAGTAAGCGAGAGTTCACCATCTGTAGAAGCAATAGATTACACTTATTAATAATGCTTGTTAATAGATGTCTACCCGAAGCTGATTGGTGGATGCCCCAATCCACCTGATGTTGACTGGTGGGCTTTCTAGTTTACCTGATGCTTAGAGGCTTAAGTGTTGGCCTTTCATCTATTTGATATCAGGTACCTTAGCTTACATGACTTACTTCGATATCATAGTTTACCTATCACTGATTGGCGGATATCATAGTTTACCTGACGCTGATTGGTGGAAGTCTTAATTTATCAGCTGCTGAGTGGTAGATGTTTTAAGTTATCCGCTGTACATTGGGGGATATCATTGCCTGTCTGATGTTGAATTGTCAATAACCTACACTACGCTGGTACGATTTATGGTCGGCAGATTTTGGATGTTTATTTAATTGTTTTGCTGCTAACGTTAACCAACGACGAGAACAATTCATATAACCTAGCAGATGCCGATTGTTGGATGGCAAATCCTACCTGACGCCGGTTCCAGGATGTTGGTAGCTGTGCTCTCTCGAAGTTCAGTGGCTGGAACTGAAGTGTACTTTGTTGAAATAGCTACAATATTTCCCTCGACCACTCGACTCTCAACGCTTGTGTTGCGCATATTCAAATTAATCTGGATGTCACCATTTTTCTTCATTTCACCGTTGAACGTGAAGTCTACATCGGCCACGGTGGGACCTTTGATCGCTCTCAGTGTCCGACAGGACAGGTTGTTGGCCCTCTCCATGGCGGCCGTGTAGTCATGAGAATCTGCGAAGTATGGAACTATTTTAGGTAGAGCCCAAATCTATAAAATTCGACTTGCAGATATACGGGTAACATGAAACGAAAAAATAGCTTTTAGGACCTTGGAATTCATTAAGATTTCCAAAGTGTCACAATGAAAAAATCAATGGCTCTCTGAAGGTTAAAAAAATACGAAGAAAATCAATTTTCAGCAACAGAAACACCAACTTGTCAGTAACTTGTCTGTTCATAATTTAACGTGTAGTTCTGCTGATTTGGTTCTGTATATACTGGTAATAGATAAACTACCTGTATCTTCATAATAAAATGTATTTACAATTCCTCACGACAACACTTATAATTCATTATAAGATCCTTTGAATTGGAGACTAGTTTTTGTTGATGACATGTAAATCGATAACATTCCTTTATATTGTCGTATATGTGTAAACATATATCACAATAAGCGCGAGAGAGACCAGCATTATTGGTATGTAATGATAATGAGTTTTGCAAAAGTCAATTACAGCGGTGACTGTAAATATTTACATAGGTGAAGGTTACATTCTGTGCTGAGAAATGTATTTGTTACTACGTACCAGTAGCGTAGTCGTTTAATGCGTACCTGTGAAGTATATGTCATGATGTGTCTATGACCAAGTCGTATTATGACGTACTTGTGAAGTAACCGTTATGATGTGCCTTTGACGTAGCAATGCCAGGCAAGTGGCATGCAATAACATGCCTGTTTAGAAGCCTTGTTATGTCATTGTTGTGATAAAGCCCTGTTGTGTCGTGTACGTAAGACAGCCCTGTTATGTCATGCCTGTGATGTAGTCCTGTGATGTAGTCCTGTTATCTCGTGCCTGTGATGTAGTCCTGTTATGTCGTGCCTGTGATACAGCCCTGGTGTGTCGTGCCTGTGATAAAGCCCTGTTATATCGTGCCTGTGATAAAGCGCTGTTATGTCGTGCCTGTGATACAGCCCTGTTATGTCGTGCCTGTGATAGATCCCTGTTATGTCGTGCCTGTGATAAAGCCCTGTTATGTCGTGCCTGTGATAAAGTCCTGTTATGTCGTGCCTGTGATGTAGTCCTGATATCTCGTGCCTGTGATACAGCCCTGTTATCTCGTGCCTGTGATGTAGTCCTGATATCTCATGCCTGTGATTAAGCCCTGTTATGTCGTGCCTGTGATAAAGCCCTGTTATGTCGTGCCTGTGATAAAGCCCTGTTATGTCGTGCCTGTGATGTAGTCCTGTTATCTCGTGCCTGTGATGTAGTCCTGTTATCTCGTGCCTGTGATATAGTCCTGTTATGTCGTGCCTGTGATACAGCCCTGTTATGTCGTGCCTGTGATGTAGTCCTGTTATATCGTGCCTGTGATAAAGCCCTGTTATGTCGTGCCTGTGATAAAGCCCAGTTATGTCGTGCCTGTGATAAAGCCCTGTTGTCTCGTGCCTGTGATGTAGTCCTGTTATCTCGTGCCTGTGATAAAGCTCTGTTATGTCGTGCCTGTGATAGATCCCTGTTATCTCGTGCCTGTGATGTAGTCCTGTTATCTCGTGCCTGTGATGTAGTCCTGTTATATCGTGCCTGTGATAAAGCTCTGTTATGTCGTGCCTGTGATAGATCCCTGTTATTTCGTGCCTGTGATGTAGTCCTGTTATCTCGTGCCTGTGATGTAGTCCTGTTATATCGCGCCTGTGACAAAGCCCTGTCATGTCGTGCATGTGATAAAGCCCTGTTATATCGTGCCTGTGATAAAGCTCTGTTATGTCGTGCCTGTGATACAGCCCTGTTATGTCGTGCCTGTGATGTAGTCCTGTTATATCGTGCCTGTGATACAGTCCTGTTATATCGTGCCTGTGATAAAGCCCTGTTATGTCGTGCCTGTGATAAAGCCCTGTTATGTCGTGTCTGTGATAAAGCCCTGTTATGTCGTGCCTGTGATGTAGTCCTGTAATCTCGTGCCTGTGATACAGCCCTGTTATGTCGTGCCTGTGATACAGCCCTGGTATATCGCGGCTATGATAAAGCCCTGTTATCTCGTGCCTGTGATACAGCCCTGGTATGTCGCGGCTATGATGGAGCCTTATTGTGCAATGTCTGTGACTAAGCCCTGTTGTGTTCTGTTCGTGATGCAGTATGTTATGTCATACCTATGATGCTACCCTGTTATGCCGTATCTTTGATGTATCAAATTATGTCGTTTGCATACCTGTGCAATGCTTGTAGCAGTGAGTGACGTCCTCTCGAGAAATAGTGGACGCTGCCTTTGTACTGATGAAGTGCCCGGCGATGTCACGTTCCTCTTCTATCGGGTCCATGTTTCCCTCTGCATCCACAGTCCAGTGAACGCGGGTGCCATTTACTTCCGCAAACAGAAACTTGGCATCAAAACCTAGGTAGAGCTCTCCGTCGCGGATGGCCTTCACAGAAGCAGGGCCGCAGGTAAACACACCTGGAAAATACAGAAAGTAGGGTGAGACGAAAGACAGGACCCAACAGAAAAAATAAAACAAAACAGGTGTGACTTTCACAATGAATCCAACACATACAATATACTATGAATATATTATCTCCGTGATTCGAATGTGTATTTTGGAAACTCAAGGGGTTTGATTTCGTATCTTTGATCTGGGCAGTAAGTACCCCATGAAGTCGGACATTCAGGGAGGCATGTGTTGCTGGAGCAACGGGGAGGGGGTGGGGGTTGTGAATGGATGAGGTCTCGGCTTTTAAGTCTGGAGAAAACAGAGGTGTAGCCAATATTTAGTTTCAAAAAACATCAAAATGCTATTCAGGAATGCGAGATGTACGAGAGAGAAACCAGAAGAAGCCATTATATATACTTTGGTTTAGAATCTATGCGAGTCATTAAACGCATAAAATATTGTAAACGACTTAAACTTATAGATATTGTACCTAAGTGTTGCAGCTCTTCTCTACCTTATGGATGTCAGTCACGTGATGGACGGATCACCATCAGCAGTTATAACGAAAATACACACATGATATGTCTGAAATTTATTATAGGGTGTACAGTCTGAGGACCGTGACAACAGTCGTGCAATCATTTCCAGACAATTTATTTGTCTCCCAGAATCAATAGAGATGTAAGGACGCGAATTCTCGTAAACATATCAAGTACTTTTTTTAAGGTTTGCGGATGTCTAAGACTCTAAGACGGAGGAAGGGAAGGTAGTCCCCTGGGGCTAGCACAGGACAGATTGACTGTTACATGGACGCAAGTTACAGGACAGTGCAATAGAATTACCGTGTTTAGAGTGTGTTTGTCCGGTTATGTTCTGTCAGCCAGTCCATTTTAATCTCCCTTTTTGTTAAGTGCATTGCTTTTGGCTTGAGGTAATGTAATGAATTGTATATCAATATGATTCTGAATCACTCTCGAATAGCCAAGAGCTCCAAAACATGCTTAGATAAGCATTACAGGAAAAGTGTTATTGTCGCCGAACCCTTACACTTCCCACCATTCATCAGCCAGAATATTTACTCAGTCTATCTCGTACATCTTCTCGCCTTAATCAAAATACACCAATACTTTCCCCCTCCTCACTTTAAAACAACCCTCCTCCATCTTTCACGTACCCCTTCCCCAATATCAGTATCCCCCTACTCCTTATCCGACCTTTTTCCCAAATTTTTCTTTGACTTGGTGCTTCCTCTTATCCAGGTCCTCTCACAGGATCCCCTTACTCAATAGCTCCCATCCTGTACACTCCTGGATCTTCTCTAATGTCCAGAGTTCCTCCATGGATCTCCCCCGATTTTGGCAATTCAATACGAATAAATTACGGACCGCGCTCTCTCTCTTAATATGCCGTGCTTTATTGATTGGTACACTTCCGCATGTAGACATTCAATGCATGTCGTGTTACCGGGCTATCCTAAAGCTATTCTATTCCATCTAGTTAAGCCAATCATAGCTTAATAACGTGCATTTTCCATCTTAAATGGTCGACTATTTACAATTATACGAGGGTCAATTCGTGCCATATTTAATGTTAGCAGCTTCCAAAAACACAGTAGAGAACGTGAAATTGTTGTCAATTGTAACAGTCCGTGACATGTCTAATCCATTTAGAATCAAAACAGAACATCATAGGAAAGCTCGTTTTCAAGATAAATATGAAATGTCTCTGTCTACATTTGGGAAAACATTTATTGTCAAAATATATCATAGCAGTATTACTCATAAAACAGTTTCTATGGCAGTCTGTCTCTTTAGGGAGACGTCCATCCGAAAACTTGTACAAAAGCAGAACACTTCATCTATGTCAGATTTGTGGCAATATCCCCAACTCCCACCCCCGTCATATTCGTAATATTATTTTGTTGTCATCTGTGATCTGTGATGTGACTCGGTCGCTAAAAAGTAGAGAGGTCGTAATAACAGCTGATACCTTATTAATGAATGAAGAAGTCAAGTTATTATATATTTATAGGTTAATGTGTGTAATTCCAAGTAGAGAGAACGCATTACTATGTAAGGAAATGGTTGAATCTAATGACTGAAAGGTTGTTGTTTTTGCTAAATTTCAGTACTTGAAAAATAATCATATGAATGTGTGTGCGTATTTATAACATTTTATTCAAAATTATCATATTGTACTATCAACATATTGTTAGAATGGTGATTACATAAATACTAAATACACGTGCATACTGGTATGTAAGAATATATGTGATTGCATGTTGAGACTGGTAGGTATGACAAGCAAAACATCATGATGTAGACAAAAACACAAGCTGTATATTAGTGCAGCTGTTGACCGTTTGTGATCAGTTATATATCTCCCTTTGCATAAGATAAAAACGGTAACGGAATTTTATATCTTTTTGTTGTTTTAAAAAAGTAAATTCTTATTAGTTCTTATCAGCTCCTATAAACTGGACATCTTTATCGTTTTCTGTCGACATGTTTCGTACACGAATTGAGGTTGTTTGGCGGACATCTTGTATAATTCGATCGATCGCACCTCATGTATTTAAAATTCGCTCATAACGAAACGATAGGCAAATGTTTTCATGCTATTTTTTATTGTGTATCAAATTATTTTTTACTATTTTGCCATGTTCTAGTTATCAAGTACAGATGGAAATTTAATTGTTTTAATTTCATCCTGACGCAGTACAACTCCGTATCACTAATAACACCGATTAGCCTTTCCCAAGCAATATGTGTTTTAGACAAATCCCAAGACAGACCTAGGTTAATTGTCTTCCGGCTTTTTCTCGGAAAACTTAATACTGAGTACCTTCGTAACACTCTTGGGGAGTGGGGTCGTACGCCTGCCAACCATCATAACCAGGAGGAAGGTCCGAACGGCGAAACCAAGACTCGTTCCAGACGTGGAAATCCCTATAAACACACGAATACACAGTATTTTATTAGACTGGCAGTTTTTCACGACACTTTAAACGTGATAAGTAGAAGGAAACCTCGACGTAATAAACTAGTTACACAGATATTTACTTCATGAGTGATTTCTTTGTTTGTAAGAAAAAATAAGCTGTGAAGTAGGCGTTGCCTGTAATTCAGCGTATATTATTGTATATGTGTGCCATATCAATAGTCACTGGTTTGTAAAAAAAATGTTTTCAATATTGTGATCGTTGAAACCTATCACACATTTTGTCGACTAACAAATTACCATATTGTATCATTCATCATTTTCCTTGGCTTTCCACTCTCCGTCCAAAAGTTGTCAATTTGTGTACTGAAGTCACTGTCGTGTGCAGACTTGAAATTGGTCACGCACCGGGTTGGTATTCCCAAGGCGCGGAAAACTGGAGGACAAGGATCGCATGTACTTGAAAGCATTCATGAAATTTGTCATTACAATATTCTAGTCGTGTTTACAACGCCCTAAAAAGCAATTACATATTTATTTTAACCATACAAAATAATATTATATAAGTTTTAGTAGGTTCATCAAATGCTGGTGTGTACTTGCGGAGAGGATACCTGGTTTCAATGCAGTTCGTCTTGAACTCTTCTTTTTGAGGTCATCTCCACAAATTGATGCAATGTTGCATTTTGACTCGTTCATAGTAACCAGCGTATAAAACGTTTGTCTCAGGACATTCACTTTCACATTCAGAAGTTTTTTTTATCGAAAATTGTTATCAATTATACCCTACAGCAAGAAAAAATCACGCACCTGTGGTGGCAACGGCCGCAAAGGTCCAACACTGTCCGAACTTAACGCCCTTCCTCTTCTTCAAAAACTCTTCTAAAATGGCAGCACTTCCGTTCCAGGCGTATGGAGCGACACCATCGTCATATTTTCCGGACCAGTTCCCGATCAAAACTCCGCCATCTCGCTCATTGTTGTTGATCTGAATAGACAATTCATGAATTTAAAAATCCTATATCTACATTTTCAAGAAACAGGCCGGTATTTTCTACTTGCTACTACTATTATATGATCCATTGGTGTCTAAGTAACAGGATCACGTAAATCGTCATACCTGTTGTCTAATTTGGGATCCATTATATACCGTGTCAGTACATCTGTGTTAACTGGATTATGCAATGATAATTGATTTATAATTGTACGTGAAGGCGGTAAACACTGCTTCATCTTGACCAACCAGAGCTCTAGTACTTAAGGCCAATCCCACGGTCAAATCAGTGTGTGACATTTATAAGATATTTTACATTTCCTCTCTACCAAGGATGTCTTAATTTACTTGTACATGACTTATATAAAAGATTTTCAGGTGCTAGTCTGAAATATAAAAGATTTTCAGGCGCTAGTCTGTAACAGTCAGTCAATATTTATACCACCAGTTACCAGTCTGTAACAGTCAGTCAATATCTACACCACCAGTTACCAGTCTGTAACAGTCAGTCAATATCTACACCACCAGTTACCAGTCTGTAACAGTCAGTCAATATCTACACCACCAGTTACCAGTCTGTAACAGTCAGTCAATATCTACACCACCAGTTACCAGTCTGTAACAGTCAGTCAATATCTACACCACCAGTTACCAGTCTGTAACAGTCAGTCAATATCTACACCACCAGTTACCAGTCTGTAACAGTCAGCCAATGTTTACACCACCTGTTACCAGTCTGTAACAGTCAGTAAATATCTACACCACCAGTTACCAGTCTGTAACAGTCAGCCAATATTTATACCACCAGTTACCAGTCTGTAACAGTCGGCCAATATTTACATCACCAGTTACCAGTCTGTAACAGTCAGTCAATATTTACACCAACAGTGTCAAGTCTGTAACAGTCAGTAAGTATTTACACCACCAGTTACCAGTCTGTAACAATCAGCCAATATAAACACCACCAGTGTCCAGTCTGTAAGTCAGCCAATGTTTACACCACCAGTTACCAATCTGTTACAGTTCGCCAATATTTACACCACCAGTTACCCGTCTGTAACAGTCAGTAAATATCTACACCACCAGTTACCAGTCTGTAACAGTCAGCCAATGTTTACACCACCTGTTACCAGTCTGTAACAGTCAGTAAATATCTACACCACCAGTTACCAGTCTGTAAGTCAGTCAATATCTACACCACCAGTTACCAGTCTGTAACAGTCAGTAAATATCTACACCACCAGTTACCAGTCTGTAACAATCAGCCAATATTTACACCACCAGTTACCAGTCTGTAACAGTCAGCCAATATTTACATACCACCAGTTACCAATATTTACACCACCAGCCTGTTACAGTCAGCCAATATTTATACCACCAGTTACCAGTCTGTAACAGTCCGCCAATATTTACACCACCAGTTACCAATCTGTTACAGTCAGCCATTAATTACACCACCAGTTACCAGGTTGTTACAGTCAGCCAATATTTACACCACCAGTTACCAGTCTGTAACAGTCAGCCAATATCTACACCACCAGTTACCAGTCTGTAACAGTCAGTCAATATAAACACCACCAGTTACCAGTCTGTACGTCAGCCAATGTTTACACCACCAGTTACCAATCTGTTACAGTCTGCCAATATTTACACCACCAGTTACCAGTCTGTAACAGTCAGTAAATATCTACACCACCAGTTACCAGTCTGTAAGTCAGTCAATATCTACACCACCAGTTACCAGTCTGTAACAGTCAGCCAATATTTACATCACCAGTTACCAGTCTGTAACAGTCAGCCAATATTTACATCACCAGTTACCAGTCTGTAACAGTCAGCCAATATCTACACCACCAGTTACCAGTCTGTAACAGTCAGTCAATATCTACACCACCAGTTACCAGTCTGTAACAGTCAGCCAATATCTACACCACCAGTTACCAGTCTGTAACAGTCAGCCAATATTTACATCACCAGTTACCAGTCTGTAACAGTCAGCCAATATTTACACCACCAGTTACCAGTCTGTAACAGTCAGCCAATATTTACATCACCAGTTACCAGTCTGTAACAGTCAGTAAATATCTACACCACCAGTTACCAGTCTGTAACAGTCAGTCAATATCTACATCACCAGTTACCAGTCTGTAACAGTCAGCCAATATCTACACCACCAGTTACCAGTCTGTAACAGTCAGCCAATATTTACACCACCAGTTACCAGTCTGTAACAGTCAGTCAATATTTACACCACCAGTTACCAGTCTGTAACAGTCAGCCAATATTTACATCACCAGTTACCAGTCTGTAACAGTCAGTAAGTATTTACACCAACAGTGTCAAGTCTGTAACAGTCAGTCAATATTTACACCACCAGTTACCAGTAATCTGTAATAGTCGTTATATGATAGCCCCACAAGTTACCAGTATGGGAAATTAGTCGAACAGTAATCGAACTGTTTTATCAACGTGATTCTGCTTAGCTTGTATATATATCACTCACCACACGTGACAATGCTCGGACGACAAGTAGTGGGTTTCCTCGGGCGGGATCCCCAAGTTCGGACTTTTCCATCATAGCTAAAGCCGCCACAAGGCAAACGTCATCGAACTAAAAAATATATTTTGTTAAGGCAATCATAGGGAGATCTATTTCTTCTCAATATATGTATATTCCTCGTAAATGGCAGTAAGTTCACAAAAAGTGGATTATTATGAACACTAATGTATATAAACCTCAATTTGACAGAATTATGAATGATATCGTATGATGAAAGATCATCAATACCACGTGATTACCTACAAACTATATGAATAGACCTGATTAAATTGTAGTAAATATATGCTACACGGATAGGAAATAAACATATTTACATAATCTAAATTGTAGTCTGTTAAACCAACCGGAAATAGACTTGTTTTCGTATAGTCAAAATTTAGTCTGCTGTACAAATCGGAAATACACTTGTACCAACCTAATCAAGTGAAGTTCGCTACACAGACCGGAAGTAGGCCGGACTACTTCTGATAAAACAGTTTATGCTACACAGACCGAAAATAAACATTTTAACCCAAGTTAAGACGTAAAACACTACGACGACCTAAAAAATCTTGTCATAGTCTCTCACCTGACCCTTTAGACCAGATACCCCATAGTAAACTATCAGATGAGTGTTTAAGCCTATATGCCCCGTGTTCAGTTCACGGCCACCATTTTGGTGATTTATCAATTTGTTAAGAAGTCCGTTTTATTTTTATTGTATATAACCATCTAGAGCGCCCCAGTGTAGACTTTATCGATGATTGGACAAAAAGGATTGCTCTCTATTTTCGAGATTGCTGTCATTTTTGGGGTTGAGAATTTCGCCCTGACGCTCACTCGTCATTACGAGACAGTTTATGCGTGACAGTTTCCATGAAAGTCTTGCCTCTGGTCTGTTATATATACAGCTCGCATTAAGCACGTGTATCAAGGGAGCAATAAATGAACCCCGGGAATAGTCAACCGACCAGCGTAATGGGAGGCACGCCGTCTCGGACGAGGGCGGCAGATCTAATTGATAAAGAATCATGTCATGGGGATCGGAGCTCATAGATAAAAGGTTCGTGGGATTGTTAAAGGGAAGAAAAGGAAATTGCATCGCCGATATTTCGGAGATACTGAACTAGGCGCCAGTAATGGAGTAAAATCCGGAGGAGAATAGCTGTGAGATAAGGTAGTATCGATTTAACTTTAAAATGTATTGGAGGGAGCGATATGTAATTTTTGGAACAAACAAAAGATTGTGCTTGAGACCTTTAAACAAAGATAGAGAGGAAACGTTCTTTGACAGTTTTAATGGAGATGATGAAGATCGGTGTCAGGTTCAATATAGGCCATTTGGGAATTAGTACATTCCTATTATATCTGCCAATAAAAAAACAGGTAGACGTATTCTGCATATAAAGAGGACCATCATGATGAAAGGATTACTACTTCAGTGATTTTACATTAAACGAAGCTGTACTACACTGTATACCCATGCCTTGTCAGTCCTAGAAGGATGCTGGAATGACCATGATTATTTTAAAGCATTCACTTTTCCTTGCTAATTATGGCCAACCTGGGCGAAATTCCATGGACGGACACAGAACTTCCGGACAGTTCCCATCCATATCCTTCCGGTCTCGTTTACCACGTACTCCTGTCTCAGGTTCTCGTCGTCAAGGAACACAGGATCGTCTACAACATAGGAAATAAAAAGTCAGATCCGTGGAATTCCGGAACCAATTACAGCAAATGAACACATATCGAAGTCATTAGAGAAGCAGTATCTGTAATGACCTGAAATTGTTTTCAGCTTGTAAAGAGAACCGTTATTGACGGCGCTGTAATTTACCTGAGCACAGCTTCTATTAAAGAGATTTATTATTCACGTTGCTGAATTCATGATTTACCTGAGCACCATGGATTGAAGATGACGTAGATATCGTCAGGGTGACTGTAACGACAAGTCTCGATACTGTCGTCACTCTCCTTGTGCGTTGTATCGATAAACAACTGGTACCTGCCGACGATTGCGTCACTTCCGGAACACACTTTAATGTTGACCTTTTTGTCTTCGACACCAAGGATCTGATAGCCCCATCTTGCCGGGGATATCTCTCGGACCTTGTTGACTGGTATAACAGTACCCTTGCTCTGTAGTGGCTGACGACCTGTAAAACAACAGACTTTTACAGGAACTGCTGTAGTTGCGTATCATCACGACTATCTACCCAAACTTTTGTTGTCCATTATCTTTACCCTTAGATAGGAAAGAGGTGATACGAGGAGGAGAAATATTATTTATGAGACAGTCTTTCTCTTTCATTGGATTCAATTCAACAACCTTAAGAAACGTACTGAAGTCTGCTTGAAAGTTCCTCTACAAAATTCAATTTACCAAAATACCCCCCCCCCCGAAATGACGGTTTGACGCTAACAAGAAGTCACGTGTGTATGGTGCGCAAATACATCAATTACTCACAATTAAACATTATGTATAGTAAAATCTAAATCTAGGGTTGACGGTACTCATTTATATCAATAGTGGTAACAAAGAACGATTTCTAATTAAAACGAGTCTGATATTCGAAGGACCGACGGACGACTTCTGATTATACGAATTTTACCATCTAAAGGGCCGATGGACGACGACTTCAGGTAAGAAAGAGTTAAATATCCAGAAGACTGCCGGAAGACTTCTGATTATAAAGATTTTGATATCCAAAGGACCGATGGATGACTTCTGATTATAAAGATTTCGATATCCAATAGGACTAACAGACTGTTTCTAATTATAAAGAGTTTAATATCCAATAGGACCATCAGACTGTTTATAATTAAAAAGATTTTAATATCCAATAGGACAACAGACTGTTTCTAATTATAAAGATTTTAATATCCAATAGGACAACAGAAAGTTTCTAATTATAAAGATTTCGATTTCCCGAGGACCTACTGATGACTACTGATTATAAAAATTTTGATAGCAAGAACCGACGAACGACAATTAATTAGAAAGATTTCGGGGCCGACGGAAAGGCGACAACATCTAATTACAAAAAATAACATTAAAATGACCGAGGGAACGATGATTAATGAGATAGATCTCAGGTCCGACGGACGCCGTCTTCCGATTATAAAGATTTTAACATTTACAGCTATTATAGGAAATATCGTGTTAATTCATATTATCTAAGTTCAGAGTCTGGGAACTCCAACGTAGATATCTGTAGAGATTTGTCCTCTGGTCGCAGATGGTACTTCTCCGTGAAATGCAGACAAATGTCAAATTAGTTACATGTTTTATTGAAATACATAGACAAAAAATATTGTTATCTGGCCTTTTTATCGCCTTGTCTCATTGACAGTCGGGAGTGTATCTCGGAATCTCACTTCGTCCCACACTAGACGCCAAGAATATTTCATCATATTTGCGTCATGTTGACTTGCATCAAAGTGTTTGCACGTCGTCTCAGACAACACACGTCACATATTTACGTTGATCAGATGAGTAAAGCACTTTCATTATTTAAGGAAAAAGTATATTATCTAAAATAGATACGATGACATTTTAAAAACTAACTTATCTGTAAATATAACTAATGAACTGTTGTGAGATTATTACGTCTCACGGTGACCTATTGCGACCCCTTTTGTCCGGCGTCGTTCGTCGTAAACATAAAATTTTCTACTTCTTGGAAAATCCTGAGCCGATTTCAATGAAATTTAACAAATACCTTTCAAGGCTAAAGGCGCACCATATGGTTCCCAACCCCAGGGGCATAGGGAAGGGAGCGAAAAAGATGCACATTGATTGAACTTCAAAATCTTCTTCTCAAATCCGGGGAGGGGTAAAGTTTACTATGGTTTATATGGGAAAATTACGTTTTTAGCCCACCATCATCAGATGGTGGGGTATTCAAATCGCCCTGCGTCCGTGGTCCGTCGTCCGTCCGTCCAGTCGTCCGTCCTTAAACAATTCTTGTTACCGCTATTTCTGGAAATGTACTGGATAGATCTTTCTCAAATTTCATATGCAGGTTCCCCTTGGTCCCTAGTTGTGCCATGTACCTTTTTTGGATTGATTTGAATTCAAGATTGCCGACAGGTGGCCATCTTGGATTTTGGAAGTAAAAGTTTGTTACCGCTATTTCTGAGAAAGTACTGGATGGATCTTTCTCAAATTTCATATGCAGTTTCCCCTTGGTCCCTAGTTGTGCATTGTACCTTTTTTGGACTGATTCGAATTCAAGATGGCCGACAGGTGGCCATCTTGGATTTTGGATGTAAAAGTTTCTTACTGCTATTTCTTGGAAAGTACTGGATGGATCTTTCTCAAATTTCATATGCAGGTTCCCTTTGGTTCCAAGTTGTGCAATGTACCTTTTTGGACTGATCCGAAATCAAGATGGCTGACAGGCAGCCATCTTGGATTTTGAGAGTAAAATCTTGTTACTGCTATATCTGAGGAAGTACTGGATGGATCCTTCTGATATGTCATAGATATTGGTTTCCCTTGGTCCATAGTTGTGCGTTGTACCTTTTCTGGACTGATTTGAAATCAAGGTGGCCCACAGGCCGCCATCTTGGATTTCGACAGTAATACAGCACAAGCATATTGTCCATTATCCACCTGTAACTGACTGCTATCTAATAATACTTTGGGATCTTTTTCAAATGATATTTGCTAATAAGTGCTTAATATAAATATCTTGTGCCATCATTGAGTACATTCAATGAAGACCTGTAACAAACAAACAAAATAAACAAATCTTCAAGAACTGAAAATAGATCCTCAAATGGTGGGCGCCAAGATCCCTCTGGGATCTTTTGTTAAAATAATTTGTTTATTTCTTTCAGAAATTATTCAAAGTTGACATTTTGACGAGATCCACATATTGACCTCGGCTGATGGTCGGGGCCAAATATAGGTCAAATTGACTCAAATTTCAAAATGTCCTTGGCAGTATCCAGGTAAAGTAGAACCAAATGCATTTCATGGAGGAAAGTGTCTTACGGTGCTTAATTAAAATTGGAAATTTCACGACCCCACGGACTCACTTTTGCCCTTGGAGAGGGGATAAAATTCACTATGGTGTATACAAGAAAATTACATTTTTTAGCATAATTTGTTCATTTTCTTTCAGAAATACAGTCGAAACTCGTTATCTCGAAATTCAAGGAACCATATAAAAATATTTCGACTTATCCGAATATCACTATATCAGTTTCCTGGTGTTTAGTACGGTTGAACCAAGTACGGACTACGATAGCACGTTATCCCTTCTTTGATTCCTCCTTGGGACTCCAATGTTTGACAATGACCCCTGTCGGGAGTCCATTATCAGGCCCTATAAACTCTGATATGGAAATTGAGCGGCCTGAGGGACAGGGCGAAAAAAGGGAACATTGATTGAACTTTAAAAAACCTCTTCTCAAATGCGGGGAGGGGTAAAAAATTTACTTAACTTTATATAGGAAAATAATGTTTTCGAGCATAATTTGTTTATTTTCTTTCAGAAATTGTTCAAATTTGACATTTTGACGAGATCCACATATTGACCTCGGCTGACCCCCAGGGACTGACTGATGGTCGGGGCCAAAAATGGGTCAAATTGACTCAGATTTCAAAATGTTCTTCAGGCAATATTCAGGTAAAGTAGAACCAAATACATTTCATGGATGAAACTGTCTTACGGTGCTTTACAAAAAATTTATTTTTGAGTACAATATGTTCATTTTCTTTCAGAAATACGGTCGAAACTCATCTCGAAATTCAAGGGACCGTGGAAAACTCTGATATGGAAATTAAAACAGGTAGACCTACCTCCTGTCTTGTCTTGCATTCGTTTCCATATTGACACAAAATGCTAGCTAAGAATTTTTTTCTTTTCAGACATGCAACAATTTTTTGTATGGAATAGTTTGTGTAGAAGAATTCAATTATGGAGTGTAATTTCTTTTAATTCAAACTTGATAAGAAGCCTTAGCATGGGACAGCAGTTAATACATACACAATTATTTATACAATATAGATAAAGTTTATTTTATTTGTTACTACTTATTTTTATGAGAGTGGATAACAAAATGTCTGTCCAGGTCTTTAAACATTATCCCGAAAATGAAAGGAACAGAAATGTACTCGATAAAACACTTATCTTTATATATGTACCATACAAGTACAGTCAAACCTCATTATCTCGAAGACGGCGGAATCGTGGGAAAACTTCGAGTAATTTGGGAATCGATGAAATCCTTCGAATTATATAGGGTCTTCTACCTACAAGAGTGCGAAATATCGAGGTTTGACTACCTTATCTCTAACTGATATAACGATGACGACCGCATAACATCACGAAACCCTGGTTCTGCGACTACAGAATCCCTGGAAACCCTAGTTCTACGACTACTGAATCCCTTGAAACCCTAGTTCTACGACTACTGAATCCCTGGAAACCCTTGTTTTACGACTACGGAATCCCTGGAAACCCTAGTTCTTCGACTACCGAATACCTGGAAACACCAATTCTGCGATCACCGAATCCATGGAAACCCTTGTTCTGCGGCTACAGAATCCCTGTAAACCCTAATTCTGCGACCACAGAATCCATGGAAACCCTTGTTCTGCGACTACAGAATCCCTGGAAACCCTAGTTCTGCGACCACAGAGTCCCTGGAAACTCTAGAACCTCTGGAAGACTTAGATTTGTGTTGTATAATTATATCACTTAACGATGGTAAGTACAGAACCCCTGGAGATCCTAGGCTACCATATCTTAACGATGGTAACTACAGAACCCTTGGACACCTTAGACATATGTTTACCACTACGTATCTTAACGATGGCGACCACAGAAGTCCTGAAAACCCTAGCCATGTTTTTACTTTTGTTCATCAGCTGTCGACATTGTCGCGTATTTTAGTCGACAACATGTACGAGAAGCAACAATTTTACTGTCAAGGAGAAAATAACTTTGGGTAGCCGATATTGTCATACTAACTTAAACTGTGTAGTTGTAAGTCATCCATTTGTTATTTTGTGAATGATCATGTGTAGTATTAATCCTTTAATGTTACATGTATTTGTTATGTTTGAAACAAAGCCGACATGTTTTACCTACCTGATATATGTAAATCAGTTTTACCTACTTGATATATGTAAATCAGTTTTACCTACCTGATATATGTAAATCAGTTTTACCTACCTGATATATGTAAATCAGGTACGAAGCTGATGCCATGGACAGATAGTCTACGCGTTTAATTGATGAAAATGGTAGCGAGCGTCAAAAGCAGTAGCCAGCTAATGTCTCCTTCATCAACAGTCATTACAGGTCGTTTATAGCTGATTAACTCTCTTTTCAATTGCATGTAATCGACTGAATATCGACGAATGTATTATGTGATTTAGCTCGCTGATTTAATGTTATTTATCAATTACAAGCGTCCATTGAACATGGACTTTACATTAGTGGTAATATAGTCTGCTCGAGGTGCTTGTCGACGGAGGGTCGTGCTGGAAGGTGCTTAGTAGCATGTTGACAGGCTTTGCTGTAAGTCAACTTTTTTTCAGACCTCAAGATGTGGCACCATGACGCTTTCATCGATCGGAAACTAAATTGATACGGCTGTTGTAAATGAAATTTAAACAAGAAACGGCACATTGGATGATGCAAACGCAACGTGACCAATCTTTTAGTAGATATATTAAACTTGAATCTCAGTAGAGGAGGCATTTTAATCTCTTTTACGTGAAAGGTTCACTTTCGAATATTATAAATATATGTTTAATGCGTTTAAATAATTACATTATAAGCTGTATCACTATGTTTTATTGGAGAACAGAGGAAAGAACACGTGAGCACTAGGAGACACCATATATTTTCACTTCCGGGATATAGAATCTATCCATTGAATCACTCGGCCAGTTGCATTGCATTTTATCAGTACTTCATCCAGAGTAAGTTCTCATAAAGATCATAACGCATTTTAAATCCAATAACGGGAGATAATATAATAATAGATTTTACTAAAACAATTACGTGCATGCTATAGATGTTCAAGTTTTTAATGTTTTTGTTATAGGATTTAGTATATTGATTCTGATCTCGTATATAACGAACGTGTTTGTGTTTGGTTTGTTTCGTTGATTGTAATATGTAATCATGCAGTCTTTTATAGTAGTTGTTTGACACGCACGGCATACAGACATTTCTGTTTATGTCTGTTACGATCATCCTCATTATGTGAACATTACGGCCAACTTTCCGACGAGAAAACATTATCCAAGTCTTGGTCAATGTTATCAATTACATGTAATGCCTAGAGATGTCCTCCGTCGCCGCGCGAGCCATTTACGTGACACGCACACTGGTATAGTATCAGCTCTTAGATAGCCCAATGATATGCACATTCTTAAGTCGATCCTCATCTCACAAACTAAACATTCTATGCAGACAAAGAGATTAGAGGTACGATTTCGACTCGCAAACAAGCAGAACAGGACTTCGACATCATACTCGCAAACAAAGGTATGGGTTTCGGCCTCCGACTTGATAGATCTTCGGTTCGGTTTGAGTCTGACAACCAGACAGATGGGGTTCAGTCTCAATGTTAGTGAAAAATTAATTTGCTTCCACTGAAAAAACAAGGACTTCCAAAGAAAAATTGGCACTCTGTAAATAAAAACCCTTTATGTCTCAACCAATCCACAGCTTTTTAAAGAAAATCCCAATGTTTTTGTTCATATTCGAAATTTTAACAAACCATTGGTGAAGTCTAACCGTGCTTTGAACAACTTGGTTTACAATCTTGGACTTACAAACAGATGGATCTGAGGTACGACTTCCGGCGTACCCCGAACCACAATAGATACTTACCTTCCCACGTACCAAAGTACATATCCTATCAACATGTGATCACTTGGTGCTAATTTGTCACAAATTGATAATTTTGCCTTACCTGTCACAAATTTGAGGACGATGTCGTCTGTAGACTCGCTAAAGGTTCTGTCAAATGTGATGCTGATATCAAATGTTTGGCCCCTCCTCAGTATCAGGTTTGGGATCTCGTAGGCGCTCGTGCGATGCACGTTCCTGTTGAACGTGCGCTGGAGGTCAACACATCTTGGTTTCAGCTGTGTTTCTACGAAATATAACGAATCGATAGGTGCAATTGTACAAGAGAGTAAATGTAATTAAAACCACTTGTTTTTAAATCAATGTTGTGTTTTATTATGTCCAACTCTAACTTTAATCATATCAAACTATATATTCTATATTGCATAACACGTAATGTTCTGCATGAATAAATTACTCGTTTCAAATGAAACCGTTTTTCTTTTTGTGAAAACAATTTTGATCACCAAGAGTTGCTGCCCTTGGTTTTACTGTCGGGTGGTGAAGACATTTAGCGATGAGACCGAATGTCTGCGAATGGATGAACAGTTGTTCCTATTCCGGATGTACTGTACATTATTTTTCTTCTGCAGTACTGGTCTCTTATATTTTTTAATAGCCCAGATTATATATTAATGAATCAATATTGGTATTTATATTAAATGATACTACCAGGAACTGAAATACAGATCGCTGTGGAACCAAGCGGTTGTCTCTGCAGTCGTTATATATTAAGTGAAATCCGGTGTGCGGTGTGCGGTTTGTGTACGTATTGAAACACGCTTACTGTCAGACTCTCGTTAAAAATGTGTATAAGACGTATTGTATTGAGTCGATACAACGCACGCAATACATGTAGGTCTATCCACACATCCGCCATTAACTATATTTAGTTCAGTTACTAGACAAAGCCATCAACCGGGGACATGTGCAGCCAATAGGAGCTGTTCCATTTCAACAGCGTATAACAGCCCGGCTAGCTCAGTCGGTAGAGCACGAGACTCTTAATCTCGGGGTCGTGGGTTCGAGCCCCACGTTGGGCGTTAATTTTTGTTTTTGTTGTTTCCCCCATCTTCTTTTTTGCACTATAAGCTTTTTCTGATGGTGTGAAAATGTTATAAGTAGACAATATATCCTTTTTCACTTATTTATTGTTCAAACGCGTGTATGCTTAGCAAGACTTTGAGTCAAAAGAACAACAGGAGGGAATATTGTTGCGCTTGAAATTCACATGTTGTATACAATATATTGCTTAATCATAAACACTCTCGCATCTAGCCCAGATGGAGAGTAAATCACACTTATCCATGTCTTCATACACGTTTTATTGGGGAGGTATAACAGATAATATGAAGGACTGTAGTATGTTATGCAATGTCTTAGATCCCCAAGCCCATGGCCTTAGTGTAAACATAAAAGTTGGTACCATTTGGAACAGTCACCTTTTTATTCGAGTTAGCTCGCTTACCAACTATCAATAATCAACTGAAATGCTCTGACCAATTTTAACCGAATATGAAACGGATACCTACACTAGTCATGGTTCGGATCAATATCGATACGTCACTCGTTTCGGCGGCTAATGAACTAACACAATGGTCACCAGCACAAACTACATGTAAATACTAAAGACCTGAACATATGGAGGGGGAACTGTTTATAACAGCGTTAGAATAGCTTACTACAGTATCGCTTACCATATCACAAAAAAACGAATAAAATTAGTAATTACAGAGAATTGATTGCAATACATTCGACGCTAAATATTTATACCGTTGAAATATGAACATTCATAATATGTATCAATCAGGGACCTATGATGGCTTGATTAGATAACACATTGTGGTATCTCATGACCATGATTAAATTTATAGTTAATACATAACGAGGCGGAAGTATGTTTTCTTCGATAAACTCAACCGAAAACAGCAGTCTATCAAGTTTTTTGGTTAGGATAAAAATGTGTCAAGAATAATGCCTTAACGATAAGTAATCTACTTGATAACCGATCCGGTCTTCCGATGCTCTTACATGTTGCAATCAGTAACAGCCCGGCTAGCTCAGTCGGTAGAGCACGAGACTCTTAATCTCGGGGTCGTGGGTTCGAGCCCCACGTTGGGCGTATATTTTTTTTTTTTGTTAATACATAGAAATGACGACATTAAGACGTTTATGTGACACAGCTTACAAAGTCGCGATATTTACAATCGACCCCTCAGTATATATCAAAGAGTCGTTAGAAGTGTTGTTGGTTTAGTTAGAAGTGTTGTTGGTTTAGACTCGGGTTTTATTTGACATATAGGATCTACTGCATTCATTATTTCATTTGTTATTTTATTCGGTAATAAAACTGTGCAAATAACTAAGATTTCATTGATGATTAATTCAGGTATGGCTTCGTTGTACACCTACCGGGATGACTAGCTCCGTGTGTAAAGTGTGAAACGCTAGCCGGAATGGCTCTACGTCATCAAATTATTTCAAGAAAACATCGAATTTGTGATTTATATTCAAAGTTTATTTTAGCATCTAGTCGTTGTTAATAAATATTAGTTTTCGTGTTTAACAATGTAACTCGTATACAAAGGGACACGTTATTCCATCATCAAACATCCCCCATATCATTCCACGTAATTATTTACGATAACTGATGTATCAGCAGGTATTAAATGTTTATAAATTGTTCAAATAACTTTTAAAACATCTGAAATTTCTTGATGATGAACAGGGTCGATAGGTCCAACGTTGGATGCGTCGTGAAGTTTTCCAGTCGCACGCTCCTCTTATCTAGTAACAGTAACGTAAACTGTTTATGGACACCAAATGATAAATGGTGGATGTAATTGTAGGGTTGTACACGATTTGGGTACAGCTCTTCCTGGCAAGCTGGCGTCCTGTTATTGAGTTAAATACACTTCATTGTTATATATCCTACAAGGGGTGTGTAAATACATGTCATTGTTATATCTTCCGCATCATATTTCAACGATAACTAGATTACAAAAATTATTTCTAAGATATCATCTGACATCTCGGAGGTAATTGGAACGGACCATATAATAAGATAATAATAGAAAAATCTAATCTTTCCTTATCATTGTCAGAACTGCCATAAATTGTGATCGATTTCACTCCGATGGCGATGGACTCACTGTCGACTCCCATAATGCATCACACTAATCAATCATAAAAGCATTTCCTGTCCGAGCGGAAGACCCCGTTACTATAGGGACTAACTTTTAGAGCATCAATTAACTATTAGAAGCGTTGGTAAATAGAAGTACATTTACAATGGTGTTATTAAATTTTCAAATGGTGCGATAGAGACAAAACCACTCTATGTAACGCTTTACGTGTGATACTCGACACAAATTAATGGAAGTTTTATACATACTCTCAATCTAACGCCCTCTCACCATGTTATCATGAATCGAGAACGAAATGGCAAAAGAAAGCTTTTCATCAACTGAACACATGTAAGAACGATACAGGCGATATTATACCCTCGATTTATTATATCAAATACAACCCTTCCTGTTGACGCGGGCGGTATTGTGAAGGTGTTGAAACGTTACATGCATACTGCTGACGATTACGTGTTTGCTCTGAATGTTGATAATCAATGTCACGTAAATATCTCAACGCTTTTTTAACCACATCAGATAAAATGTCCAACGATATGCATTTTATTTGTAGACAAGCTCATAATGCAACACATCATCAAACATGAGAACAAAAATATAGAATGCAAGATGTGAAAGCGTATGGGCTGAAGCTAGAGGAAGAACATCAGAGTTACTACGGTAATACAAGGTTGAGAAAACGTTTAGGTTACCTAGACGAGACGTTTACACAGAAATACAGGGATACTACGTCTAGATTACTAAGGTGAGGCGTTGTGACTACGCTGGTTTACGTTTTCATGGTAAGACGAAGTTAAGACCACATCTAGATTACCAAGGTTACTTAGGCGAGTCGTTGAGACCACATACAGGTTACCTTGGTGATGCCCCAAGACATTTCCATTGTAACACAATGACAACCATATTCGGGTACTACAGTTATATTACAAGGAGATTACCTTGGTAACATGGTTATTACGGTATCATGACGAAATTACCGCGATGTCATCACGGTAATACGATAACACTACCTCGTAGTTACCACGGTAATACGATAACACTACCTCGTAGTTATCACGATAACACCACCTCGTAGTTATCGCGGTAATACGATAACACCACCTCGTAGTTATCACGGTAACACTACCGTGTAGTTACCACGGTAACACGATAAACTACCTCGTAGTTATCACGGTAACACTACCTCGTAGTTCTCACGGTAACACTACCTCGTAGTTATCACAATAACACTACATCGTAGTTATCACAATAACACTACCTCGTAGTTATCACGGTAACACTACCTCGTAGTTACCACGATAACACTACCTCGTAGTTATCACGATAACACTACATGGATGTTATCACGGTAACACTACCTCGTACCAATCACGGTAACACCATCGTGTAGTTACCACGGTAACACGATAATACTACCTCGTAGTTATCACGGTAACACTACCTCGTAGTTATCACAATAACACTACATCGTAGTTACCACGATAACACTACCTGGATGTTATCACAGTAACACCACCTCGTAGCTATCACAGTAATACTACCTCGTAGCTATCACGGTAACACTACTGTGTAGTTACCACGGTAACACGATAACACTACCTCGTAGTTATCACGATAACACTACCTGGATGTTATCACAGTAACACCACCTCGTAGTTATCACAGTAACTCTACCTCGTAGCTATCACGGTAACACTATCGTGTAGTTACCACGATAACACTACCTCGTAGTTATCACGGTTACACTAACTCGTAGTTATCACGGTAACACTACCTCGTAGTTATCACAATAACACTACCTCGTAGTTACCACAGTAACACGATAACACTACCTCGTAGTTACCACAGTAACACGATAAACTACCTCGTAGTTATCACGGTAACACTACCTCGTAGTTATCACGGTAACACTACATCGTAGTTATCACAATAACACTACATCGTAGTTACCACGATAACACTACCTCGTAGTTATCACGATAACACTACCTGGATGTTATCACGGTAACACTACCTCGTACCTATCACGGTAACACCATCGTGTAGTTACCACGGTAACACGATAATACTACCTCGTAGTTATCACGGTAACACTACCTCGTAG